ACTTTTATTGCTGTACAGTTTTGAAAAAAAATCCATGGAAGTTTCAAAATTTTCAAATGCTGTTTCTTCTAATCTAATTAAGTGATGCTTTTATTCGTATTGCTCCTCTTTTTACGTTATTGCACTCTCAAATTATATGCCATTATCAAAATTTTGTCAAGAACAAAGCCCACCAGCAATTCAGCAATCGAAAAATAAATGTATAACACATAATCCGAGATGGGAAAGGGACAGATTCAGAGATTCTTAAAATTAAAATTGAAGAGTCTGCTTTGATAAAATTTGCACGGAAACCTACAATAGACTATACGATTACCACACAAATAGACTATACGATTTCAACTTACAGTTGAATATAGCAGGGATAGAAATTAGATGAACGGATATCACTAGTTGCCGTATTTGCGGAAAGACCGAGAGATCTGTTATAAAGTCACCGGATTTTGAACTCTGATAATGAGAGCTGTATTAAGTTCATCGAATTTAGAGCGTTTGTCGTAAAAGCTGTATTAAGTTCATGGTTGTGTGTGTGATCTTTCCTGTGTTGCTACTAACAGTTGAGTGTAAATGAGACTGAGCAGCAACAGCGCGAGTCGCAACGTAATAACGTAGCGATAACGTAGTCGCAAATAGCAAGTCAGCTGTTCAGTGTGGACTATCCATCGAAGTGGGAGTTACTTTCGATGTAGGCGAATTCATGTCACGACCGCAGGTCTCCATTGTGAGGAAAAGATCTTTCGACAATGCCAGCCTTCAGCAGCTACCCCAAGATTGTTTCGAGTTAGCATACTAGTAACTGATATATACTAGTGAATTGAAGTTTAATGATTGTAGTGGTAGTTACGCCACAGCACCATGCTTTTATTTCAGTATCGTTCAAGAAGTCATTGACGCTATCATGTTGCTCAAATTTGAATAGTATAAGAGTTGAAGCAAATGTGAACAATAGTTCAATGAGTATGATGTACAGCATGGACTCTACTTGATTAGTTTACCCCCACTAACCCTTATTTTTTTTTGGAAAATGATATCGCAATAAATTCTTTTAATAAAGAGTTTAAATGAATTAGCTTTTTTCTTTTTTTCTAAAAAGCTGAATTTAGTTGAAAGTTACTCTGATTTTAGGATTCACAAAGGAAACAACAGTCAATCATTACTGGTCTTGGTGTAGTTGGCCGCGTGATTTTAGATTAACAACTGATTTAAGTTCAGACGAAGAATTCAAATGGGTGGTAGAAAATATCGTTGCAGATGACACAGAAGAAGGATACATCTCAGTAATGTACGATGAAACTTATTTTAAATTAACTATTCAGAACGCATACGCAATGGCGCCGTTTTTCTGTCTGAAGGACGTCAAATCTTTCCAAACGACACCTACTGAAATGACAAGGTGAGTACTAGACCTATTTTAAATTAATATTCATTTTGAATGGCTGTTTTCAATAACATGTCCTCGTTGTAAAGTTATGAAAAGAAAAACAAATAAATTTAATCCATTCAGACACAATTTCTTATGGATGATTGACTGTGTAAAGCTAAGTACAGATGGCGCTAGTGGTTAAAATTCGTCGTATTACATCCGGGTTACTACTTCCGATAGATTTTTAAGCTTAAGCTTAAAGAAGATCGCTATCAAACACTATTATACTTGTAGTGTTTCCACTATAACACGTTTTTTGAGTTTAAATTTCAAGGAAACACAAACAACATAAAAATTTGGAAGACTCCATAAGCATGCTATGACCTGCAAAATCCAACCCAAAAAATAATTAACGGTAATGTTTTACACAAATATAGCCAAACAAGGGATAACACTCAAATCATGGCAAACCTTACACTTTATTTATGCTGTGATATATATTTCTCCAAATTTGTTTTAGGGTTACAACCAGTTAGAATTCATAAATTACCGAATACCCTTTGAATTGTAAAATTACTCGCAAATTTAAACATAAATCACGTTAATAAAACTTCCCAGAATATTAAGCCAGCTCACACATAGCCTCGTAATCATAACATGAGCGGAGGGATACACCGGAAGTTTTCTAAATTACTTCCGGTTTTAGGAAGCTTGTTATTGTTTACATTCGGTCAGCCACATCCATATTAAATTTGACAAAACTAAATGTAAAGGAATAAGATTCAAACTTTATCAAGGAAATCTATCATAATAATAAAAAATAAAAAAGAATTTGTGCGTCTGTAACTCCAGAACCATGTGTACTATTAGCGTCCTTAAATTTGGACACGTGTGCAAGGATCAATTTTAGTTCAAAATTCCAAAAATCGTTCAAAAATTTCATATAGTTCGTTCCATAGACACGCTTAAAAAAATGGTTTTTTTCACTGGTTTAGTAGTAGCCATTGATAAATTAAACTGTACTCGATTAATCAAAAATTTGTTTTATTGACTTAGCAATGGTAATTGTTAAGGTGAACTGTAAAAGAGTTTCGTTTCCACTGTTTTAAAAAATAATATCGCGAATGCGTTCTCTCTAATAAGAAAGACTTTATTTCTGGTTCCTCAATGTTCAATTTTTTATTCGTTATGTTAGGTAAACTCAACTGGGATGACCTGCTAAGACTTCGTCTTATTACGTACTTTAGAAGAGTTGCTATTCTTTTACTTAATAGTGGCAACAACACGTCTTTCTTTCTGAACTAATTCCTTTTTTCACTCATTTCTCACATATAGGAATGAAACAGTTCCAGAAACAACTTACGACGAAGACTTCAATGGTAACTCACCAAATGTTTTAATTTATTTCTCACAATTTATAAAAAAATTAATAAATGGATGCGTAATTTTTTCGTTGTAGAACGCCTTTATTAAGATCTTATACGATGATATGTGATAACTTTCACCTCGATTTAAAACTATAATTCTAAATAAATAAAGAAGATGCGAATTTAAGACTAACATGTAAGGTTGAATAACTTCTGGTACTTCCTTTAACTAACAATGAGAATTAGAAAAAATAATTGAATTATCGAAATCTTTAAAGCGAAAAAAAGCATGTATAAAGTGCAAATAAAGTACATATATTGACATACTACAGTTTCGGTTCTCGAAATTAAAACGTTCATCATTGTCACACAAGAACCCTTCTCAGTGTTCCTGTTTTGAAACTGAAACTATAGTATGTCCATTTCTGTACCTAATACATATTTTTTGCTTCAGACTACGTAATTTCAGCCTAAGTAGTGTATCCTAGTCTTGGATTTTAAAAAAAAGTCATTATACAACTTATACAATCATTATATTTATTTAAATTATGAATTCATATTAGGAAAAAAATTTTAAAAAAATGTATACATTTATTCTGAAGGCTATTTTGTTAAAAATACAAGTAGAATACAGATTTTAAATTACAATCGCTTTATTAAAACATTACTTTCGTTAAACAGAACACAAAAGGTAGCGAGCACTAAGAGTAATTATTTTTTAAAAGAGACAGAACACATATTTTTAAAACTTTTTCAAAGTTTAAATTTTAAAAATACTTACAAAGTTAAAATTTTGAACAGTGGTGGACAGAGAATTTACATTAGATCTAGTTGAACGAATCTAGATTCCGTGTAGCTTGTTTAGCAGTTTCTATAGGGTCATGTGTACGCGATAATTGTGTCCCAAATTTAAATTCATTATCATTTTTGAGGTTTTACGTATTTTCCTGTCTGAGAGTATCCCTTTTAGGTTAGGGTTATTTGTTTCGAACTTGAAATCATGATCCCTTAAAAGTCTTAATTTGTCTCCCATTCTAGGCAATTAAATGCCACGTGTATTCTATTCTTGACTTCGTTGTAGTTAGGGCAAAATACTTACCTCCTTGAATGGTGGACCACAATCTATGACTGATCATAAGTTTATTCTGGTAAAAATCAGAAATACAGCTCTTAGAGTGAAAATTAAAAATTAGATTAATTTTCACTTCAAAATTATGTATCAGTAATTATGTTAATTTAGAGATTTTACACTTATGTGACTGTTGGCACATCCATGTAGTTGCTGTTGTTTTTTTTTTTATAACATCAGTTGGTAGGATAGTAGGATTTTACATCTGCTCCCACGTCCGCTGCCCTCGTTAGCCGGATAAACCGTTGCCCGGGCGATACCACGTGGAGGTGAGGGTCAGCAAAGGTGTTGTTTTGTGGGAGCTTTGCGAGTGTCTTCCAGCGAAATAGTTTCCAGAAATCTGTTCCGCTGGGAATATCATATTACATAAAATAATATTATTACACTCGATGGACATCGCCCTGTTTTTTTTTTTATGGTTAAAGTTATTTTTAATAACAAAGAGTCATTTTTTAAGTCTATCATTTTTAATTTTAAACGTTGATTTTTTTTTCAAAATCATTTTTTTTTGTCAACGTCATTTTTAATATGAAAGGTATTTTTATGTCAAGGTCATTTTTAATGTCAAAGTCACTTTTAACATTATGCAGTCATTTGTAGTCACACAAAGTCACACCATCGAGCAATACATCTTAGAAGGAGCTATACGAGCACTTCCAAATCGATAACAAATCTTTGGCTCCTCATCTTCACCAAAATCACCATCTTTGGCTCCATCAATGTTTTTCTCTCCAACCATATTCAAACAATACTTTTTAGATGGAGCTATGCGTGCACTTCCAATTCTATAAAAAAGATTTGGCTCCACCTTATCGCCAAAATCACTGTCTTTGGTTCCATCAATGTTTTTTTCTCCATCCACATTCACACAATACATTTCCGATGGAGCTATGCGTGCACTTCCAATTCTATAAAAAAAATTTGGCTCCATCTTATCGCCAAAATCACTGTTTTTGGCTACATCAATGTTTTTTATCCCATCCATATCAAAACTGCACAACTCGGAAGGAGCTATGAGTGCACTTCCTATTCTAACACAAATCTCTGGCTCCTTCTCTGCACCAAAACCACTATTTTTGGCTGCATCTATGTTTTTTACTCCATCTATATCAAAACTATGCAACTCCGAAGGAGATATGAGTGCACTTCCAATTCTAACACAAATCTCTGGCTCCTCTCCGCCAATACCATTTTTTCTTGCTCCTTTTTTAGGAACACCATTCAATTTCCTGTTATGTAACGAATATTCAATAATTAGTATTTTAAAATAAATTTTTTTTACAACAATTTATTTCTGGTGAAAAATAATAGCAAGAAATATTTAAATGTTTATGTTTATATGCGTTTTTAACATTTAGGGCATGTTTTTAATAAAAAAAATTATATGCTCACAATTTTTTGCTAACAATATGACATACGCTGACAAAAACAGGAAAGAAAATCACAGTTATTATTGTATATTACACAATACAGAAATATATAGTTCAAAAAATCTATTAATATATCATATATAAAATGAATAATATTCGAAACTTAATTTCTAGCAAAATAATTATAACTATATTATAACTATTTTTATTAATTTCTTTTACATTTCGCCAATACAAGCTTATTAAATACAAGTAAATTCAACTGCTTTTTTAATACTCAATTGTTTTTTTTTAATATTTTAAGTTAAATACAATTATTAATGTACAATTTTTTAAGTTAAATAAAGAGCATTAGTCTTTTTAAACAAAAATTTAAGCTGATGTTTGAAACTGATGCATGTGTAACGTATTGCAGATTTATACATAAAATGGAATATCTTTAGGTTTGTTATGATTTTGCAGTCTAACTAAATTAAATGAACAAAATATATGTTACTTACAGTTTTTTACGAATGTACCTGAAAAATCTCGAGAAAATTCTCGCCATATTCAATTAAATTGAATTGCAGTTGAATAAATATCGCCCAACTCACTCAATAGCTTTTTACAAAGTGCTTTCCTTTCATTGTTACGTGTTTTACATATATTTTTTTTATTGTTTAGTTTCTTTTAATTTTTATTGTTGTTTAGAGTTTGAAACAACAATGAAAAATTTAATTGTTGAATTATTTTGAAACATAGTCACAAATTACTTTGATGAACCTAATTAGAAATTTTGACAATAAGTTCTTTTTAAAGTACATTATTCTTTACAAAAAAGAATACAATACATACATTATATTCCTTAAAAATACATTTAACACCAACAATTCTTATTAAATATTTGAAAAAAATTATGTCATTCATTATTAGTGTTATATCACCGTACCCTTGGGGCAATTTTTTAAAATAAAAGTGAAACAAATAATTTTTGGTTATTTTATAGACATATTTCTTTCAAAATCAATCCTAAATTTTCAAAAATCCGGCATTATTTTTCGAACTTCTCAAAAAGTTCCAAAAAATGCTTAATTTTTTTTTAAATATTTTTTAAAAATAGTTGGGCATAATGAAGTGCATAAAAATATTAATAGGCACAGATATAAAATGCTGTAAATAATTTAACAACTTTTTGAGTCTTTATTCAATGCACATAAATATACTATGACAATTTTAAAAAAATTGAAAGCTTCAAATTTAATGGGAAAAAAGTCCTTAAGTATTTTTATAACAAGTAAACACCAAAAACTCATCCTGCATGAAAATTTAGATGGATCATGAGCTAGAGTCTCTTTGCTAGAGTCCCCCCCCCCCTGTCCTTGGCGTGAAGCTTAAAAATTTATTATCTTCCTTATTAGACACAGTACGAGAAAATTCATAAAAAGATTTTACCAGATTTTGAAGGGAGTAAAGTTAAACAACTATGTGTTAAATAAAAAATAATATAGTTCATTTAAAATAATTGTAATAGAGCTTTTGAAGCTAGTTAAGCATTCTTGAATTAGCCTGATAAAATATATTTTGCTTGAAATAATTGTAATAGAGCTTTTGAAGCTAGTTAAGCATTCTTAAATTAGCCTGATAAAACATATTTTGTTTGAAATAATTGTAATAGAGCTTTTGAAGCTAGTTAAGCATTCTTGAATTATCCTGATAAAATGTATTTTGTTTCATGTTGTTGACTACTCTTGCAATATGGGATTCAATGTTTGATGTGAGGATTTCTTTTTATAATATAACAGCAAAAAATATAGGAAAATAGTAGAAAAACTGTTAGACCATACTATCTTAAATAATTAAACATGAAATTTAATTAAATAAAATTGATTTAAAGAAATTTTTTCAAAAACAAGTGAAACCTTTCGAGTCTTATAATTATAATATCTTACTTAGAAAATTCACTTGAGTAATCAATTCAGTCGCATGACGGGTTTTCAGAATAACTGTATTCTTTTGCTGTAGCCAAACTCATGGATATGTTGCATATATTGCATAAATATATTATGTATATGGCTACCAAGGCGGTTGCCACCATCGTTGCTATGAATGAGTTGATAGCCCAGTTATGAAAAATATAGTAAGACTAAAATTTTGCTATTTTTTTTTTTAATTGCAAAATATAGTGCCCTTTTATCTTGTTAACTAAAAAACATGTAAGATGTCATTCAAATCTACAACGATATGGTTTATTCCACTTAAATGAACCTTATAATGCATTTTCTTGGGTCTCAGTTGGTTTGAAGCCGGAGTTTTGTATTTACAAAAATATTTTTTAAAATTTTACTGATTTGTATTAAAATGAAACTGTATTTAAAAAAAATACAACCTGCTTATTTATGGAAATTCTCCGGATCAATGCCCTTCATTGGGCACTTTTTATTTCAATGTTTACAACCATATCATGACATTTATTTATATGCACAAGTGTTGAAAATAAAAATTGCATAGATTCATACAAACTGTGTAAAAATTTTATATAAAAGAATCTTATGATTAAGCGGTCCTAAGGTAAACGCCTTCCTCAAATGTAAAAGGAAGAGTCTTAAGCAAATTCAATAATTTAACACATATTTTTAGAATGCTTCATCAGAGAGAGTTGGATTCCTGTTGTACCATTCAAGCAGACAATCAGTCATCACTTCGTTAAGGATAAAATAGAAGCACGACTTGTCTGTCGTGAAAATGAAATGAGTCTCTACCAAATCAAAACTCTGAAAAAATTTAAGGAAGACTTTCAAGCACATGATTCATGTACGCCATCAAAAAGTAAGCCATAAACAGTGATTTTTAAAAATTTTCACAATGCTATTTTGTTCAATTGTATATTTTAGCAATTTTTATCTTTGATTTAGTTTGCAGAACAAGTTGAAAAACTTAGTTGAAGCTAGACCTTAGTATCTTTTCCTCGCTGAACAACTATTCTGGCTATAAATCAATCAAAGATACCATTTAACTTAATTTGAATTTTAAGAGGACGCTGCTCAAACAGCGAACTTTTCATCTCAAATTATCTTTCGCTTTCATAAGTGGTAGGAAATTGGGCTACGTGAGATCGTGAGTTTGAATTCCGCTAGCCGAAGAATCCAAACAACCACCCACCGGCCTGTGTATTAAATGGTGACTGGTGCGCGTTAAATCTGTCGGGGTTACAAAATCCTCCAAGTCCCAGTCCCATCACAAATCAATATCTCTGGGGGTACTAAATTGGACATTGATCATTCTGATTCCGGTTAAAGTTACGATCTGTGGATGAATGAATGAAGTATGAAAGAATCATCCCTGTAAAGCGTTCTGCGACGTGTGTGTGGCTGAAGTCATATTCTTGCCCAGTCATATTCTTGCACTGAAAGTAAATGTTCTAGAAAAGATTTAGCTCTTCAATTGAAAAGTGTCACTTTAACTCTGAATAATGGCACATTCTCATGTTATATTTTTTTTCAAAACTATTAAATTCAAGAATAAAAATACAACGTTAATTTAAATAATAGGTGAAAATTCATAACTTTTTATTTGATGGATGACCATTTTTATTCATTTAAACCTAAATAACTAGCCTAACAACTATACCTAGCTAATTTAGTTTTTTTTCACTTTGTGTTAGAATTAATGTTATACTAGGTTCAAGTTCCTGTGTATTGTGTGTCGAACCTGTAAGCTTCTATACCATACCTGAAGTGTAACCTGAAATATGTATGTATGTTTCGATTAAAGTAATAAATCTGGTTATTATTTATATTAACCGGTCAATTTTAATATTAACCAGTTCTTTTGGTGAGAGTAAGAAATACAGCTAACTATTTACTTTAACCGGTTATTATTTAAAACAATCAATAAAGTTTGGTCAATGTGATTAAACGGTATATATAGCATTAGGACATGGGTGCGTCTCTTTGTATATGTGTTACGTTAAAGTGATAAATCCGGTAATTATTAATACTAACCGGCAAAAATGAGTAATAACTGCTTCTTTTGGGCAAAGTGTGAAAAAAAGAGGAAAATTCCGCATCGTGACTTGTGGCGGAATAATTGCCAAGTCTAGGCAACTTCCGGGCAGTAGGCCAGGGAGAAACTAAATTAAAACTTCACAGAAAGGGACCAACTCGAATGGTATAACTCATAGCCACCCTCGGGCAAACACTACATTTTTTTTTGTTGTAAGTTTAAAATCAGTTTGGCGCCTTGGCGATTGTAGTTGGCATAGCTAACCAAGATACGAAAATATCCCCAATAAAAACGTTAAAGAATGACATAGAGCAAACTTCAAAAGAGGGGTGGCTAATATAACCGGTTAATGTTATAAATTCGATTAAACTATTCACTTTAACCGGCTTATTTGTGATAGTAACTGGTTAGTATTAATAATGACCGACTATCCACATTGACCGTAACATGTATTCTATTTCAAAAGTTCGTTCCTTCGCTTTTTCACTTTTTAATCTTTCTTCATGTTCGACTTCTGGAATCCTGTATAATGTTAATCACGAATATGTTTAAATTTTATTAAAGTTATATTCAATTTGGCGCTTCTCCATTTCATCTTTGACGACTGATATATTTCAAATGCTATAAAATACACGCAACGTATCTCGAAAAAAAAAGATTAATGCATTCAAATCTTTATTGATATTTCTTTTTCACTCAGGTACAACATCCTCGGTTCATTTTAAGACTTTGGACCTACAGTCTAGCTATATATTTGCAACTGACTATCCGGTCGAAGTATACGAAGGGACAGTGGAACAGCTGGAAGACTACGATTTGGCGAAGTATAACTTGGGGTCAACCGATTATGGTTTCATCGCAATCATGTTCGTGAAAAACGCGTCTTTGTTTCTAGTTCAGCAATCAGTAAGGCGTGTACCTTTCTTCTGCGTGAAGGATTCAGCACGTAATCTGACACCAGACTGGAAATTATTTACTGACTCTACACCAAGGTTAGTAACATTATTATAACCATTGTTGAACAACAGATCTAATTTTTTGGGTTTGTGACTACTAATGTTCAACTCCGTAGCCTTGTAATTTTGAACCCAATCCTGGTAGATAAGGGAACCCCTGGATCAAGTATTGCGAGAAACTTTCCTTCGTGGAGGACTTTTCGATGGAACTAACTCACATTTGCGTGACATGGAGAGGAAAACCACATAAACCTCCCACGGCCAGCCTGACGTCAAGGAGACCCCATGATCTGTCTACCATTGACGATATCTTACGTCAACATTATGGTCAGTACAAACCGGATGCGGAATTCGTATCAACCGGCCATCACTGGGATCACATGAACCCGGTTAACATCATTGGAAGTCGAACTCTATCTCCTGAGCCATCCTGGCTCAATGCTACCAACAGAAACCTAGTTGTCTTATGCCACTTGTCGATATTAACAGGCCCATTTTAAGGCAGACTGGTGTGCTTCTTCATAATTTTTAGTGGTGGTATCTATGACCAAGAATTTGACTTCTACCAACCACATACGTCACAGCCAGTTTTACATGGAGGACACATTCATTTACAGTAATAGAAATACGAAGATTAATAAAATATAAGCAAGATTGATTTTTGTAAGTTATCTATAGGTAGAGTGGACCGAATAAAAATCGATCTTCAAGTAGCCTAAGCTCGGAAATTATGTAGTTGATTACCAAAATATTAGCCTTCTTTAATAAGTTTAAATTGTTTGCACGACTTCGTAAAGGGGAAAACGTAAAAAATTAATTTTCATCTTTTCATAATTATATACCGTCCATAACCTTCGTGACTTACAACCTCCCGTAAATACAATGATTGAGTGATTCTCCTTTCCCAGCCCACGATATCATATGAAATGGACCTTTCTGTATCCAGAAGCCCAAGATCACACATATCTCAGTCATCTCACTTCCGTACTATCTTATTTCATCTCGTGTTAGTGCGTTTACTTATTCCTTAGTCTGTGTACTATTGGAGCCAGCAGGCCTGGGGAAGCGCTTCTTCCTCCTGAAGGGGTTAAAGGTTGTTCAAGATCCTAAAGTGGTTAAAGATTTGTTAAAGATCCTGAAGTGGTTAAAGGTTTGTTAAAGATCTTGAAGTGGTAAAAGGTTTGTTAAAGATCCTGAAGTGGTTAATGGTTCGTTAAAGATCCTGAAGTGGTTAAAGGTTTCAATGATTTTTAACATAATCAGAACTGTAAATGTCTATGAATATAACGCAAATCAAGTAAAGCTGCGTGAATAAATTCGGAAAAAAGTTGGGGGAAATTCTGGACTCATACCCTAATCCGCTGTATTAAATTGATATTTATATGATATAAAGTTATGAAAATAATAATATAAGGAATTCGAAATTAGCTTTTTTTTCCATCATTTTTTTCTACTGTAGATAAAAAACACTGACATGCTGTTAGAGGGTTTTTTTAAACAATCCGAAACCCCAGTATTTTAAAACTGATGTTTCTGTTCTATATTTCAGATAAAAATAAAACTTAAATACGAAGATATTTTTTTTTCATAAATCTCACAATTGCAAAAAAATTTATTACAAATCCTATGTATTCTTGTGTGTGTTTTTGTATGCACTAATATTCTTCTTTTTTTCATTTATTATTTTAAATACAGGACTGAAACTATACCAGATAGTACAACATTCATCACGGACTTTAAGGCAACTTCACCGGATACGACTTACTTCACAAATGATGATGAGACTACTTTAGATACTACTTACGTTACTGATTTCAATGGTAATTCCCTCTATGTAACATTAATTATAGATTTACTCTGATTATAAGCCAAATAACTCAAAACAATTTATTTAAATGATTATTCATATTTTGCAGCTTTATTGTATGTGATGAATATGTTATTGTAAATGACCGAAATTAAGTGCCACTGTCTGGTATACATTTGCCCGGTATAACCTACAATGATGTTTTTTAAGGTTTCGGGCCAGACATTTTTTTTTCAAGGTCAAGTGCCACTGCCCAGTATGCATTTAATTGGTACTCCCTCGGTACTATACTATCCTCGGCAGATACTAAAATATCGAATAAATATAATAATATCAAAGAATAAATTATTATCAAATCTGTTATAGCAAATATTTTGGACATTCACATTAGGAAAATAACAAATTTTGGACATTCACATATTTGGACATTCAAATATATAATATTTAAAATTATTAACAAATATATAATTTCGCAATTTGAAGAAAAATTCATTAAAAACTGCGCAAGAAATGAGTATTTAAAGTAGTTCATTTATACTGCCCAAGTGAGAAAAGTTTTTTTTTTTTAAAAAATCAAAATTTTAAAGTGAATCTTATTTGAGAACTAATGAAAAAATTTTGATTTGATTTTCTGAAAAAGTTTAAAAATTTTAAACTATTTTCTACGAAGTTTTTGTACTTTTTAAGAGAAAGCTTTAATTGATAAGGGGTTTTCCACAAATTATATTTTTTTTTATAAGACAAAATTTAATAACTAATAATACCTTACAATAATCGTCAGTACACGCGAATGTGTTATGTGAGGAAAGAAAACATGTGAAGGAAAGCACACTTTTAAGGTGCTAGATCCCCCCACCACAATGCTAGTATAGTTTTTAATTCATTTTATTTGATAGTATAAAATATAATTTAAGGAAAAATTTGAGACAATTACTAGAAACTTTTTAAATTTGTAAGATATTCAAATCACACTTTTCTCATTAGTTGCAGAATACGATTAACTTCAACATTTTTCTTTTGTATTTTTCCACGCATGCCCATTATAAAAGAACTACTTTAAATACTCATATCTGGCACAGTTTTTAATGAATTTTTTTCAAATTTTAAAAGAAAAAATAATGTCAAAAATTTTAACTTTCACAAAAAATATTGTTAAATTTTATTAAATAATTTTAAAGTTATAGTAAAAAAACCAAATGACGAAAAAATATTAGTTTATTATAAAAAAAAATATGTCTCTATCCCTATAAATATTTAAGCTAGGTTTACGAAATTTTAAGCATTTATTGCAAATAACAAGTAATCGATACAAGCTACGAGCTTATTGCTTGATTTTCTGGCATAGGATGTTCAGAAATACTTGCCTCATTTCGTCGGTCCCCCAAACCTCTGAAAGTTTTACACCTTATTGCTAAGTATGGAAAACCTCTAACCTGAACCTCTAAAAATATATAGTTTTCTGAAATATCTATAAATTTTATTTGAAAAAAAAACCTCTAACTATTGAGGATTCTCTTTTATTTCTAGAAGTAAATAATGATTGCTTGATCGATGGGAGATGGACTCCTTTCTGTCCTCTAAAAAAAGGAGGAATTGGTTTGTGCCATCCAGAAAACTATCGACATGCTACGGTAACTTGCTTTCAGTACGACATGAAATTATACTCACCCAAATCTCTTGAAGAATTCAAAACGGACTTGCAAGCACTTAAAACATGCAAACTTTTGAAAAGTAAGTACTAACACGTAAACTAGTTTGTTTAGTGTGTATGTTTAAATTACCTCCAGCAAGCTTTAAAGCTGATAGTAACTAAATCCTTGATCGCCTTACACCAATCCATCGTATATAACGACGGACTTTCTAAAAAATTGACCATTTTAAATGTTTAAAAAACTGTCTATATAAATTATGTAAGACTACTAATNGAAAGTAGCTTGGTTGTAGTAAATTTTAAATTATTATGAGTTACCTAGAGCAACAGCATTATCCCAAATGATACCGAATACAGTTAGTCCTTATTTTGATAGACACACGTTATCGATTACTGTAAATTTACCTAGAATAATAAATTATTATAAATAAAAGGCATTGGAGTTATTTCAGCTTCATTATTTGTGTCGATATTTGTCTTACAGTTTTGCACACGATTTTGAAATGTTGTCGAGTGCCGATTTATTATATGCGTAATAAATAATAATGCGTAATAAATAATGTATTTATTGTATATATACATACGTTTAATATATACAGATATATAATATATACATACATATAATATATACATATAAATAATAAAACTAGTTTGGCAGATTGTTTATTTTTAAATAACTAAGCTAGTACAATGCATTCAGTTTCAACAGTTATGTATTTAAAAGATCAACATACTAATTTTGAGGTCCTCCCTACTCTCTCAAGTATCAATCTCAGTAAGTTTGCATAAATTCGTCCTGATGAAACTATTAGGGGGACCGGAGTGTAATGTCGTTTCGCCACGTTAAATATTCGTTAATCTTAAAAATCAATTCCTTTTTTCCGATCATTTTCGATCCGGCATTGAAAAGTTATTTTTAAAGAGGGAGAATATATTATTGATTAAAAATAAAATCATGATAGCAAATATCAAATGCACTAAAACGGCATTACTTCCTGGTCCTTCTAATATCATGAATTGACATAGTAGACAAATTTTTAACTCTCTGTAATGGTTGATGAATCTGTGTTCTTAAAAAGCCATTTAAAAAAATTCTGACTCATCTCTTTCATAGATGAAAATGCTCCTTTTCATTCCTGGACTCAGATTTGGTGGCCATTGGAGGCCTCTGGACGTGAAATAGAATCAACGAATCAAAGTTATGATTGGATGAAATTAAAACTTGATGCATACAGAGAGAAAAACCCATCTGAAAACTTACTAAACAGGCCAGGTCCCATTACTATACTCTATGAAAAAGATGACTTTCAGTTGATTGAAGAAAAAATCTATAACAAGATTCCGTTTTTTTGTCAAAAATATTCTAAACTATCAACCCCAGATTATTTTACAGAAACTACAGGAAGGTGAGTTCTTTAAAATATTCTAATCTAATATGCATTAGTATTCTTGCCAGGATAGAGTAATCTAATTGAAAGATTGATCGTGTAATACAAGGTCCCTAACAAGAATTAAAAGTGTTTTTGAGGTTCATCTGAGGTTGTTTTGAGGGGTTAAGGCTGATTTGATATTTGTTTGAAATTTACTTCAAAAACAATCACAAAAAATCTATTTCCCGAGGTTTATAATCAAGGTGTAAGAAGTTGTTTTATTCACACTTGAGGACGCTTTGAGGTTGACAGAAATCTACGTTAGAGCAACCAGCTCAAAAAGGTTGTCTTTGAGAAATACGTGTTTTTCTTTTTTACATATCAAACAAATAAATATGTTTGAGATGTGAATAATTTTATCCGATTTTTATTAAAAGCATACCTGAGCTATAAATGAGCTTGATTTTATGATGTGTAAGAGAGGTTGAAATTGAGGTTGTTTAGAAATGAGGTTATTTTTTTAGCTAAACATAGCATCATTGTATACCTCAGCTTTTTTTAACATCTGTCAACCTCAAAGCAACCTCAAAAACATCTTATTTTTTGTTAGGGGGTATTCCAAAATTGAACCTACACATTTACAGGGCTTATTAAAAGTCATAAAGAGTGTGATTACTTGGCATAGAACATATAGTATAGCAAAGCCCATGCAGGTTTCCATACTACGGTGGAAAACAAGTATAAAAGACATACTTGCTAGCAACAAAAATATTCAATCGATTCTGAGGTCATTCATTGCCTACAATGAAGTAAAAGCTATTCTTAAACGTGCTTTGATGTCTGCCGAGGGGGGACAATCCGTACAATGAGGTTCTCCACTGTATGCTACGGGTCGTCGCATTAACTATCATTTTCAAGGCGAATACACGTGGCCAAATTTCTGCTCATGTTATTTACTGCCATCCATCATTTTTTTTAAACACACCTCATAGCTTTGCTTGAAAATCTTTAAAGATGATAATAGTTGGACATCCGTCTGCGAGCTTCTGACACTGGTGATCTAAGCAGTTCCGTGCTTCGGCGCAGACATCGAAAAAGAGTACTTTACCAACGGTATCCTATTGTCTTCCACCATCTGGTAAAAGGTATTGGTAAAGGGTGCTTATATTGAATGACAGCGATTTAATATTGCTTATTGCATAGTAGACTATAGGGAATCCATTACCAATATTTTAAATCATCATTTTCCCATGGTACGGGAAGACGATACCCGAATTCAATTCAGTGGCAACCATGACCCACACTTTACACTCGCGGAAATCGAGCATGTCATCAAAAACATAAAACCGAATAAAGCTCCGGGCCCAGACGGAATTCCAGCCGAGGTGTACAGGGACATGTATTACTGTAATAAACACTGGTTCAGATCGGTATTGAACAAATGTCTTCAATTGGGTTCCTTTCCAGATCCTTGGAAAAAAGCCTCTGTCTGCCTGATTCCCAAGCATGGCAAAAATCCTCAATTACCGCAGAGCTATCGTCCAATCTCTCTGCTCTCTACCTGGGGTAAAATTTTGGATAAGTTGATTGCTGAGAGATTAATCTATTTTTTGGAAAGNATACATATAATATATACATATAAATAATAAAACTAGTTTGGCAGATTGTTTATTTTTAAATAACTAAGCTAGTACAATGCATTCAGTTTCAACAGTTATGTATTTAAAAGATCAACATACTAATTTTGAGGTCCTCCCAACTCTCTCAGGTGTCAATCTCAGTAAGTTTGCATAAATTCGTCCTGATGAAACTATTAGGGGACACCGGAATGTAATGTCGTTTCGCCACGTTAAATATCCGTTAATCTTAAAAGCCAATTCATTTTTTTGGATTATTTTGAAAAGTTGTTGTTAAAGAGAGAGAATATATTATTGATTAAAAATAAAATCATGATAACTAATATCAAATGCACTAAAACGGCATTACTTTCTGGTCCTTCTGACATCATGAATTGACATATTAGACAAATTTTTAACTCTCTGTAATGGATGATGAATCTGTGTTCTTAAAAAGCCATTTAAAAAATTCTCACTCATCTCTTATATAGATGAAAATGCTCCTTTTCATTCCTGGACTCAGATTTGGTGGCCATTGGAGGCCTCTGGACGTGAAATAGAATCAACGAATCAAAGTTATGATTGGATGAAATCAAAACTTGATGCCTACAGAGAGAAAAACCCATCTAAAAATTTACTGAACAGGCCAGGTCCCATCACTATACTTTATGAAAAAGATGACTTTCAGTTGATTGAAGAAAAAATCTATAACGAGATTCCGTTTTTTTGTCAGAAATATTCGAAACTATCAACTCCAGATTATTTAACTGAAACTACGGGAAGGTGAGTTTTTTAAAATATTCTAAACTAATATGCATTAGTATTCTTGCCACGATAGAGTAATCTAATTTAAAGATTGATTATGTAATACAAGGTCCCTAACAAAAATTAAAAGTGTTTTTGAGGCTCATCCGTTGTTGTTTTGAGGTGTTAAGGTTGATTTTAGGTTTATTTGAAATTTACTTCAAAAACAAGCATAAAAATTCTACTTCCCGAGGTTTATATTCAAGGTGAAAGAAGTTGTTTTATTCACACTTGAGGTTGCTTTGAGGTTGACAGAAATCTACCTTAAAGCAACCAGCTTAAAAAGATTGTTTTTGAGAAAGCATGTTATTTTTTTACATCGCTCATGGGTTGCGATAGTGGCACAGCTAAGAGAAACACGCTCTTAACGCTCTTAACACACACTGAGAACAGGTGTAAATATGAAAATACACTCTCTTTCAGCAGTAATATTTAAACAACTCATAATTCAACTTGAAGGTAATCTTCGTTTAAGGAAACAAAAGCATTTCTTATTCATTTTGCTTAGCAATGAAAACTTTAAGCCCACTTATCTCAAAACTTGATTTTTTTTAGTAGTGCCGCTATTGTAGCCAATGAGCAACATATCAAGCAAATAAATATGTTTGAGGTGTGAATACTTTTGCTGGATTTTTATTAAAAGTATACCTGAGCTATAAATGAGGTTGATTTTATGAAGTGTAAGAGAGGTTGAAATTGAGGTTGTTTAGTGATGAGGTTATTTTTTAAGCAAAACATAGCATCATTTTATACCTTAGCTGTATTTTTTTACATCTGTCAACCTCAAAAACATGGTATTTTTTGTAAGGGGGTAGTCCAAAATTGAACCATCACATTCACAGGGCTTATTAAAAGTCATAAAGAGTGTGACTATTCGCCATAGAACATATAGGATAGCAGGTTTCTATACCAAGGTACAAAACGAGTACAAAAGACATACTTGCTAAGAACAAAAGGATTCAATTGATTCTGAAGTCCTTCGCTGTCTACAATGAAGTAAAAGCGATTCTTAGACGTGTTTTGATGTCTGCCGAAGGGCGGCAATCCGTGCAATGAGGCTCTCCGCTGTGTGCTCACGGTCGTCGCATTAACTAGCATTTTCAAGCAACGCCGATGGAAAATGTCACACAGATCTTAAATGGCACGTTTATGTCTTCCTGATGACTATGTGCGAGTTGTTATATTATTCTATCATCTCTATTTGCGAATACACGCGACCACATTTTCTACTCATGTTATTTACAGCCATTCATCAATTTTTTTTAAACACACCTCATAGCTTTGTTTGTAAATCTTTAAAGATGATAATAGTTTGAAATCCGCCTCCGAGTTTCTGACACCCCATCTGGAGCATTTGGTTACTTCGGCACACCCATCAAAAAAGAATACTTTACCAACGGTATCCTATTGTTTTCCGCCATCTGGTAAAAGATACAGGTGAAGGGTGCTTATATTGAATGACAGCGATGTAATTTTGCTTATAAGTCAACTATTTGTTTTCATCGTCGGCAAAATTATTTCTTAAGTACATTTCATTTCATAAACGACGTTGAAAAGCCAACCATTTTTGAGTTCACGTCTATCAGTATTCAACTCCACATTCTTTTAGTCTTGAACCCAATCGAGAAGATAAAGAAACTCTTGTCATTGGGATGAATAGCTCTTCAGGAAAGATATTTTAGTGGAACTAACCCGCATTTGTGTTACATTGCGGACGTTGAAGAATATCTGAAAGAGATTATAATGCAGATTCACGGGGTTTTATATAATGCGCGATATTTCTTTTTTTATATAATAGAAGAAATTAGCGAATGTACGCGTGCATTTTGAAAAGATTGAAATATGCATGCGTAGGAATATTGTATGATAAATTTTTCAAAAAAGCATTTCATTCTACCAAATATGTGAGTTACGTGACTTCCTTTATAAAACGATAATTTGCAAATAACACCCTCTTGCTTCTATGCATTCTGAAACGGATTTTCGTAAATTCGCCATAAAATGATGTTCAACATGTTCAGCAATTACAATATTTATCACCAAATATTGCTATTATAATTTCCTAGCTTTTTCCTTTTAATACAAACTTATTTTACGATTCTTACTATCACTAACTTACTTAACCAAGAATTATAGATTAAAACACAAAGTTTGCTACCACTAGAAAAAGTTTGCCCTCTAAGCAAAACATGTTGATATAGCTGTAATTTTTTTTTATTTGCTTCATCTTTAGGCAGGAAACTGTATCAGATGCTACTCTTACCACAGAAATCGATGAAATTCCACAAGAAACTACAACTTACGTTACAGAAATCGATGGTAAACACTACTTCTACCATTTAATTTATTTGGTGTTATTTTGAACAATGCAGCGTTAGGACAGCAGTGTGTTTAGTTGCAGGGAAATTCCCGATACTTGTAAACTTGATCAAAGACTCTTCTTTGGACAGAGGAATATTTTTAATTAATTTTTTAAAAAGGTTAAAAGGATTAAGAAAAGAACTATATAATTTTAAGAAAAAATCACTTATTTCCTAAAGTCTGCAATTAGTTTTTATGCGTATTAATAGCCTTTTAATAATGTTAGGAATACTTTATGAAACATTATAGTCGAAAATGCTTATGAAATAGTCAATAAAATGTTATCAAATTTCCAACTTATCAAAATTCAAAAAGTAGTAATTTTAAATATTCAGTTCTCGAAAACTACTCAAGCTATTTCATATTCAATGTTTTTATCTCGTCATTTAAAAATTCATACTTTAAAATTACATCAAAATCTAGATCAACGAAATCCACAAGAACGATTTATGAACATTTTTCATAAAAATTAAGATTGGTCAACCTTTTGAGGATAACCAAGTCTTAACAAATTAATAAAGGTGACAATTTATTCGCTCCGAGAGTTATTACACAACGAAAATGAGCTGTGCTGAAAAAAGTGGTTCCTGTCCACCTTGAAATTCGTTTTCCTTTTCAGAGAATCAACTTCATGGAAATAAATCGTTCTTCCTCATTGATTTTCAAATGTTTTCTACTTTTACCTGACTTTTTTTTGTCTAATAATCATTAAAAATTACTTTTAACAGCGGGAACGTACAACTGTGTACAAAACGAACAAAAAGAATTAACGAAAAAACGAATTTTAAAATTCTGAGCAATTACTTGTTGGCTTTTTGAAATATAGCTCTATTAGCATTTTGAGATAAAGCAAAATGCCTGGAAATTGAAATTAACTTTAAAAGAACCAAATTTTAAACTTTTTTGCTGATTAACTAATTATGACCTTATTCAACAGATTGCGGCTGCCCCTCCAGTTCTGATAGTTAAAAATCTATGTCCGTCAACAAAAAAAATTATATATTTATTCAGAGGATGTATATTTTTGTGTATAATTTCGTGTTCGATCATTAAATTAAAGACTATTCTAGGTGTTTACTTTTTTCCAGGTTTTTACATAATGTTTTTCAAAAATTAACATTCAATTCCTTTAAAAACTAATTTCCACTTTCCTTTCTTTTTTTTTTAGAAAAAATCTTACTGAAGACGTGTAAAATTTACAATTATTTGATACCTTTCTGCCCAATCACAAAAGAAATCGGACTCTGTCCAGCACGCAGAAAGAGTGAAGCACGTGCTATCTGCGAAGAGCATGGACTGTCCGTTTTTCCTTCTAACACTATCAGATCAGTAAGAACTGAATTGGAAGTGCTTAGAAAATGTAAACTACCAAAAAGTAAGCTATTTTATTTATGAATCACATGTGTATATATGCTATCAATTTATGCTTTTATATTCTAAGGAGCTCCGCTCGCTACCCTTCCCCCCCGTGGTGAGCTCGTTTCATATATCTTTAATTTTCTTAACTGAAAAACTATATTTTTTAGAGAAAGATACAAAATAGTTATAATTGTCTGCAAAAACACCTCGTTAATATGTTAATAGTAGCGAAATTAACGATTACCTGGATTTGGAAGGAAAAAAACAATTGCTCTCGAAAGGAAAATTCACTTGATGTGTGAATGTATACAGTTTGTAAAAAAAAGTTTGAAAACAGTAGAATATATCGAGAAATATACAGCGAATCGAATCAATTTTTCAATATTTTTTAAAGATATCCAATCATACCTAACTTGATCACCTCGAAACTTTGAAATTTTAAATATGAACTCCTTTTTTATTGTAGATATGGATTCTCCAGAAAAAAAAGTAACCCTATTTGAGATCTAGGCTTTTGCCTTTTGCTTCACAGAAGGTGCTTTAACCGAGAAAAATTACAAACTATTATAAACTACTTAACAGCTACTAAAACAAATTACTTAAGATGTCGAGATTCAAGATATTTCTTTTTAAAGTTTTAACAAAAATCAATAGAAATATTCTTAACATGTCTATTTTCATCTTCCTAATCTGATGGGTCTCGAGATTCCTCATTTTAAACTCTATATTCCCTATTTAATTTTTCTCGGTTAAAGCGCCATCAGTGAAGCAAAGTGCCATCTATGATGCAGTGCCAACTGTAATGCTTAAAGATACAACTCAAATAAGGTTACTTTTTCTGGAGAATCCTAATCTGCAATTAAAAATAGGGGGCTGCATATTTAAGATTGGAGTTGGGGTGAAAGATCGAGTTTGGTATCATTGGATAGTTTTTAAAAAAATATTGAATGTCATTGTTTTCACTTTTTCGATCTAATGTATATTTCTCGTTATATTTGACCGCTCCTAAACTTTTTTTACAGTCTGTAAACTATGTGAAACAATAAGAAATGGTTTAACTCGCTAACAATTTATAACGATATCTTTATATTAATAGTGTTAGTTGGAAATGGTTTTTACGTTCCTGGAGACTTTTATATTTTTAAAAACTTGCGATGTGAATTTTATGATTTTTTTCTTGCAAGAACTTATCTCTTTGATTTTCTTTTTATTTTATTTAAGCATTTTCTTTCTGTTACTTTGACTTCAAATGAAGCTCGAGCTGTTGCAATGAAAATCTCAAAAGATATAAATTTTTCGACAATAATAGATAAATGACCATTATTTAAAGTGGAAAAGAACTCGGGATAAAAGTACTACTCATTAGTATGTGTTAAGAGAAATACTTTTGTAGTCATGTTTAAACATTTTTGAATGAACTTTAACCTGCAACAAAAAATCCACGAAAATTATTTATATCTTAATAGTTAGTGTTGAAGTAGATATATTGAACAGAGCTATTTTAACAAAAAGCGTGTTTTTCTCAAAATCTTCAATTTTGATTTATCCCTAACCCCTAAAAAAATTACAATTTCTTTTTCAAAAAACTAAAGAATACGTATCTAATAGTATTACATGAAGTTCACATATTAATATCCAAAAACAAATTTTAACAAAATCGAAAAAGGCAAACCTAGCCCGATTTGCTTGATTTTTTAATGCTCGATTTGCTTGATGAACTTAAAATTAATTCACTAAATGCGAAGTAAATATCTAGCTGTAAAAGGAGTCTTATATGGCCCCTCATATGATAAGTTGAACTTAAAATTACAGCACTAGATGTGAACTCAATGCTTCGTTATGACTTGTGCATATCAGATTATACATTTAACTCAAACTACATTGGTGAAAACAATTTAATGAACGAACGGCAACCACTAACGAAGGAAATACAACCAAACCTGACCAAAATAACACACGATACGTGGGGAAGCAAAATTCTGAATATAAAATGTACCCTTGAAAAGGAAACTGGTCACTTGTCCAGCAAAGCAGATGATCACCACTCAATCAGATCTCAGTGTTTCATGCTATTAACCAGGGTTCTTATCAGTCCCTTTAGCAACAACGTCCGCTCTTGTAACAAGGCATCTTTGAACTCACCGATTGTCGTTGATTCTAGTCTTCGAGCTGCAATTGAGCGTCCAAGGTTGTGACGCTTTTTTGATAACATTAAGGTCAGAGGAGATCGCAGGCTACTCAAATCGTTCAATCAATCAATCATTTTTCGATTGGAGGCATTCGTACACCAAATGAGTCCAGTGAGAGAAGAGTTATCGTCCATAAAGGTGAAATTGGGTTCATAAACTCTGTATAAGTCTCACCTAGACTGCAAGGATCTCTCCCCTGTACCACTAACCCGTCAGAGTACTTCTATGAAATACATGAAGATCGATATACCATGATGCTTGCCCAGACCATCTCGATCATAGAGTCGTTTTACGACAATGTTTGAGGGCCTTTTAAGAGTACCGTTAGAGCAAATACCGAATTCCGGATTCTCTACAGATCTGGACAGTAGCTGTCCAGACTTAATCGATACTCATCACTGAAGAGAACCCAACCCCAATCATCCTATGTACAAGACGGGTTCTTGGCACCATGCTAGATGATCTTTTTTGTGGGGTACTTGGCATACATGTCACCTGCATTAAGTTCTCTGGAAGACAGATATCAGTGAAATGGATGCTCCTATTACATTATGCAGTTTTCGAGACTGTGGTGTCGCTGTCACGAACTTACATTGTTTGGATAGAAATCTCAAAAAAGCCTGAGCTGGTGCCTCTTGGAGCTTTGACCATTTCCTCAGACCGTTGTCCTTGACTCAGTGAACTATTCAATCAGAGTGGCCACCACATTTCTCGAAACCCTGAGTGCTCCTACTACAAGTACCAGGTGATTGGCCAGCTTCTAGTTTTTCAGCAATCCACCATCTAGTGGCATAGTCAAGACGACGACGAATGGTCATATTAACGACTAGACAAAGAAATTTTTAAAAAAAACAAGGATTTGGCTAAAATACGATGTTTCAAAACGTCGTTACTCGGTGCACTTCATGCACTCGGTGAGTGCATGAAGTATCTTTACGCAAATGCGATCACAGCGCCACAGCCTTACTACGTCACAGGCCACTGCGTGGCAGAGGTGTCCGTAGAGAGCTTAGTAGAAGTATTATTATTTCATTCTTTTTTTTAAATAACCGATTTCCTTTTAATTGCTTTCATCAGTGTAATTATCTTTTCAGAAAACACAGACAAGAAAAACATCGTTCACTACCTGACTGGAATCCAGTGGCCTATTTCGATACATTCAAGTGAAAGTTCGGATGAAGATTTTCATTGGGCGATTCGAAATATTGTTAAAGATGGATCAAATAAAATAGGTTATATATCAGCTGCCTTTGATGAGAATCATTTTAAGCTGATTATTCAGAATGCATACGCAGCGGTGCCATTTATTTGTTATATGGATGAAACATATTATTACACGACATTACAACCGAATCGGGGCACTTCAACTGCAATGACAACAATGTGAGTATTTGAAATATTTATTTTATTATCTATTTTTGTTACTGTTCCTAATAAGATTCTCTCACCAAAAAGTTCGCCCCTCTCCTCCAAAAAACGGGATAATTTGAATAATGAAAAGAGAAATAAAAAAATCATGTAAGAAACAGCTAAAAACTACAATCTCAAAGGAAAGTTGCGCATTGCAGCAGAAATTCCACAAGAAAATTTAAACCAACAGCCAAACATAAATGAAGAAAACAATGAAAAATGTGAAAAAATGAAATATATAATATTGACAACTAAAACTGACGTCGTCAGGCTGTACCAGCCGCCGAAGTCATAAAAATACAAACCTTTTCTATCGAGAGAGCACGACAAATGTCTTAAATTTGCTCTCTCTGCACCTAAAAGGATTCGCAAGATGTCCAGGAAATGAGAAAAAGCGAATTCAAAATACAAACACTAAAGTGAAATACCCAAACTATTCCAAAAATCTACTTAAGAAACATATTCCTTTACCAAAACAAAAGCATATCACATTCACTTTTCTTTGCTACTGATAAAATCCGTTAATTTTGTCTGAGTTTTTCGTTCGAAATTCAAAGGGGTTTTACTGCTTTCTCTAAAAGTTACGTGGCTTCGAAAATCAATTCAAGGTCATTTCAACCATAAAATGCGTTAACAAGCTTAAATGTTCCGAAATATTTTGGGAAATAGGGAAAGTGGATATGAAAGAAAAGTTCGCTGAATAGAAAATTCGTTTTCTTTAAATAACGGAAGCAATTTGACGAAAAATAAATTTATTACGAAAAAATTATCTCACGAAAAAATTATCTTACGAAAAAATTATTTTGCGAAACAATTAATTATCTTTCGAAAAAGTTATCTTACGAAAAAATTTTCGTACGAAAGTATCGCAAAATGGAAGTTCGTTAAATAGAAGTTCTACTGCAATTTTATTTTCATTTATTGTTCTTTTTCTCAATATGTTACAACGGTTGGAAAAAAGTATTCTATCAAAATTTTTAAATAATACTTGGAAAAAAAAATTCTGGTGCATTAGTTTTTTTAAAGGATCTTGCTTATTTTAACGTCGCTGATTTCAAATCTACAATCAGTTTCTCTCTCAAAGTTAAACTTTTTTCTAAATGACATTATTTTTTTTATCAACTTCTCGTAGAAATGTAAAAATTAATTTATAAGCTTTATATCGAGCAGAGGGGTTCATAAATGTTGCAAAAAACTTCTAGAAGAGTTAGGGTACATCATCAGCTTTAAAAGTTCCTAGAAATGTTGTCATAGATGGGCTTCTCTATTACGAAAGATTTCTTCGCGTGCTCTAGAACAGGTCATAATATGGACATTCTGGACATTTATTCAAATTTTAACCTGATGATATCCCCTACCTTCTCGAGAAGTTTGTCGTATCATTTATGCGAACAAATGTTATATACAACGT